GTCACAGTGAGGCTTATATATATAGTTTACTTCAGTATATCATCATATTGTTTTTAATACGGATCACTGTGATTTTTATATGCTGCAGGTTGTAAGAATTATACATCTTTCGAAAAAAACATTTTGTGTGAATAAAAAGAAAACTGAATGATTGAATTTTGAAAATAAAATACGAGAAGCTTACTCTTATCATGCATGTGCTTTCAATGTAGTAGGTAAATTTACTGAACATTGCTGTATAAAAATACGTTGTCTGAGTTGTCTCCCTAGCTGATATTCCGCAGTTTTAAAATTTTAATTCTAATGTAAACAGATGTTACACTGATATCAAACCCAATATTTTATGTTTTCGATTACATATAAATAAGTATGCTTATAAACGATCAGTTGTGCATCTATTTGCAAATAAAAATCAATTGAAATCCCGCCGATCTGTCCAAAGAAGAAATGAATACTCAAGAGAGAGAGAGAGGGAGATTTTTTATAAAGTTATTTGCCTTCGGTAATCAGGCAAGATCAGGCAACGCATTATTTTGACCGTGAAAAGACAAGGAGTGACCAGACTTAACGAACACAAAACAACATTTCTTTTACCAATCGATATACTTGTAATTGGTTGAAGCTTGTAATTATTTACTAAGCACGTAAATTTATGCTTTCATTTTTCTTTGGTGATATATATTTATATTATTAATTCGTATTTTTTAACTAATTTGATTCGTTTAGAGATAGTCACATGTTAAACTATATTTTCGAAGGTAGAGAGAAAACGGCGGATAGCAAAAAGCATATTGCACAGCAAAAAGCATATTGCACGGTTATTTTTAGAATATCTAAAAACCGATATACTTTGTGACGTCATGTAATGAATTTCATGATATTGTTAAAAGTTTTATAAAAAAAATATCTATGATCGATTATTTGAAGAAAAAAAATCTTCATATACATAAGATGTAAAAAAGTAAATGAAATAACAACTTATATGTTATTGTCTAGGAGACAATATGATATCTATAAAATTCCAACAAAATAAAAAAATCAAATCAGGATTTTGATACAAATATGGTCGGAAATTAATAATATAACAATTATAGCCTATTGATGAGGTCAATACAGGATATATCGACCCAAAGAAGTATATCGACCTCGGACTTCGTCCTCAGTCAATATACTTCTTTCAGGTCAATATATCCTTGTATCGACCTCATACAAAGGCTATAATTGTATAATACATATAGACCATGTAGACCTATATTTAGACCTGTTTTCATTTAAGAGGCAATGTTACATATAAATAGGCATACAAGATAAAAAAAAAATAAAATTAAATTAAAAAAGACCTCCAGGAGCGTAAATTGTCGAAAAGTAAATATACTTGTATATTTAATGCTACGAATATCTGATGCGAGAGGGAGTCCGGTGGTCTTCCATTGGAAATCTTAATGTGCACGTTTTTGTTTTCGTAAGGGTTAGATCAAAGACCTATATCAATTAATTTTACATACAGGTGTATTGAAGATGTTCTTTCCATTAACAGTACAAAATTTTCCGATTGGGTCCCATTAATCGAGTAATGAACTAAAGATTACAGAGATTACAGACACTAAATATACAGCTTCCTCAGCCTCATTTTTAGACATATACCCCTAATTTGAATACAGCGGTCATCTCAATACCAGAGTCTATGATAATCGAGATGATTTCGAAATTTTCCTCACGTCAGCAGCAATTAACCAACTTATTTCGCGTATGGAGTATACATTTCTCAACTCGTACGATTTTCAGGAGAGTTTGTAAAACGTCATCAGTGTTTGAGGTTTGTTTGTTGGGCTGAGGGTTTTGTGAAATAACGTCTCGTCCTTTTTCTCAAAACGTTTATTGGAAAGAACCAAGACATACTAGATAAATATGCAGTGTCTGCTTAACAATATACAGGATGGTCTTAAGTTATGAATTCTAGGTGCTGATTCTGTGTAGAATTTGATCTGTACTACAGTTTTACCTTTATTTGTCTTTATACTTAACTATTATGTTCCATTTGGTCGTATGACTCTTGACGTAGTTCGGTATATGTGCATCCAGCTTTCAGCTTTTTGGCTTTTGGGCGTTCCGTTGGGTGGGTCCAGAGATGCGATTCGGACACATAAGGTTTTTATGTTGTTGTTTTTTATACCCTTGTATTCATTTTTTTTTTCTACATTTGCATTTGATCGGGAAAGAATATATGCCATTATGATTACTATACTGTCTGTTTTATCAACTGCACAAACTTTTTTGTTGGAGTCTTTGTTTTATTTAATTGTAAGTGTGTTTGAACATTTAATTCAGTTGTGTTGTGTTGTATGTCTTTGATGTATATTTACACAGTTTTTTTGGCTGCTGGATCCCAGTTATGGCCGAATTAACCAATTATTTCTGTTTGGGTTATTCACCCAATTTGGCATTATTACGGAACATTCAAAACTGTCATACAAGTGGGCGAGCTAGCAAGAAAACCAGGTTTAAGCTACCATAATTCTTAGGAAAATGCCTGTGCCAAGTCAGGAATATGACAGTTGTTTTCCTACAGCTTTTTAAACAATGTTTTTTTCTTCGAATTTTTTCAAAACTCAACAAGGATCTTCGATGTATATATATGACTGTGCATAAAAATTAATGGAAACAGATGAGACAATCTGAACAAAAAACCTATACAGGACGGACAGACAGACTTAGACTATTATAAGGCAACTAGTCGGTGTTGTATTATCAAATAATCAGATCCACTGGCATTGAATCATCATAGCCCTATTTACAAACATAAGTAAAACGGAATGATTCATGCAAATACAATCTTTTGTTATACCAATTACAAATATAAATTATCATTTGTTTAAAGAAAGATTTGATCGTTTTCGTGGATTTTTGTAATAACGAATAAGCTGCAACAAATCTTTCACGGTCCTTTTCACGATCATCAAAATGCGGTACCCGGTCTTTCACGATCCGCAATATCATTTTTTACAAATATTCCCATTTTTGCAAGTTTCTGATTGAACTAAAACAAAATAATTTTTAGAGTTAATTTAAACAGTAGTATTTAACGACATTTTTAAGGGAAAAGTAGTGTATGCATTAAAAATTTGAAAAAAAATGTTTGTTTATACATTTTTATTTCTTTGAAATCTAGAGTAGCAATCTGCCTTTTCTATTATTTTTGTAAAAGAGGTGTACTTTTAAACCTTGATTTTTCTCGGATACTGATCATAATGTGGAACCATTTGACAGGCAGTTTTATTTTTCCAATATTTGTCATTATAAATAGTTCATAGATGTTAGGTCATTTACTGACGTTGCATGTGTCTTCTCGATAAGATTTCCTTCACGATCCTATACCAGACCTTACTCACAATACTTGTCCACCGTTACTTATTCTTTCACGATAATTTTGCACGTTATACCGAATTGACAGCTGTGTTGTTAATCCTGCCTAAAAATAGTTTTAGTAAAAACTAAGAAGCGTTAACCAGACAAGTCAAGGACCCTATAAAAGGACGTCTCGTATTGGGGGAAAATAGACTATCATAATTCATGCAATAGATTAATCTTTGGTATACCAAAACAATCAGCAATCGGATTTCTGTATTAAGATAAAGTCTTTGTTTATGAAATATTGTCTTGGTTTTCCACTTAATTGTACTATTCGATTATATACACTTTACATTTTTTTGGCCTAAAACAGTACCAAGATTTAAGTTGTTTGTATCTTAACAAAGCCAGAATTAAGTAAGTGAGTCCAAGATTTTCAAAGGGGTAGAGTGATTTCTTTGAATTTATTTCACACATTTGGGCATTTTCTGAAAGTCCTTCAATCTTTGCTAAAATCCACATATTTACACCTTGTGTGTGTACTTGTAGATTTCATCATTTTTACGTATTTTCGATTGTGTGACCAACTTATAAATACCGGAAGATGGTTTAGAACTGATATTTTGAAAGATTTTGATGCAAATTTTGAGCATTTGAATAAGAAATAGTAAGTAGGACTTCTTAACCTCAATCAGTATTCTATATATAGGTGTATATTACTTTTACGATACATGTAAGATTCAATGCTCTCTCAAACTTGCATTTGACAGCGATGTATAACGTTAAAAAAATGATTTTGATTAGTAAATCTAATAGTTTTTGTAGATTTTTTTAAGGATGCATTATGAGGGTCTGAATGGGTTTTAAAGAATAAAAAATAATGGACCAGAAAGTAAAGTTTCAAGTTGAGAAAAACAGGACCAGAAAAATAAATAATAGATAATAATTGAGTGCTATAGGATATAAAGAATAGAGAAAAGTGACCGCAAAATTAAAGAAAACATGAAACATAAATGACCCCCTCTAGACCTTTCTATATGTATTATGTCCATCACCGGTTTCGACAAAGCGGGTTTCCGATTTTAACCCTGTGGATAAAACAAGCACTAGCCCGGGGCATTGTGGCCATTACCACTTTATTTCCATAAGCAAATACAGCTTATTGGAGATACACAGAATAAAAAATGCATTTTATTATTGAATACCGATGAATCTATTTCTGAATCACTATTGCTGATATGGCTGACGTTTTGAACCTTTTAACGTTAAATATTTATTAAATTTAAATAAGCATCTGCAATGTTTAAATACATATTTAATAAATCAACCAGTAAGCAATTTTCAAGATTTTTTTTATATTTAAAAACATTTTTGCATTCTCTTTTTCCACTGCTCTCGGCTCTTGGGCCTATTTATGATATATCATACTTCTATAGCTACTATTAAAACTAATATCGTATTTTCTCTTGAACTTTTTGTTTGATGAGGTCATTCTGTATAGAGCTTGAAATTTAATTGTGTATTTACATCTCATGTGTATTGATCTGTTTAATTATCTATCGATTTCAGATTTTAAATATCCCGGTAAAATGTTTATATTGATTTTATGCTAATGAGCGTGCCGTCAATTTTACTAATACGCATGCGTCCCAATGAACATTCGCAGACTACGGGGTTTCTTATTACAGATTCAAGGTGGACCGCACCCCTACAATTGGAGGAAATAGCCAAAATACACTAATGCCGGGTGAAATATTGTGATATAATTATTCTGTATGTTATTTTAAAAGGATTTTCACCCTTTTTAACTTTTTATGTAAGTATAAAACGTGTCTAATATTGTGTTATTGTACATTTCATTCAAACCACGGATTGCATCGGTAATGACCCAAATTTTGCCCATTTTGACAGATAAACAAAAGATTTACCCCTCGCCGCCAGGGATTATTTACTTAACAGTATTCCTCATCTAGCGAAAAAATATACTGCTATATATTTACTTATTGTTAAAAGTGAATTTGCCATACATGGATTGATGTCTGATGCTGAATGAAACACAAATTATAATGGGTTGTTTCCCCATCGCGCGGGCACCTGTTATATTTGTACAAAATTATTACATTGTGTACATTTGAATACACTCTGTCGCAACATACTACTATAAAGTTTATTATGCATTTGTAGGGAGGCTGTGTTCGTAGACAATATAACATGACAATTTATGGTAGCACTCTACTACAAAATTTATAGATTTTTCGGCCATTTTGTAATATGGCGTTTTGCATAAAATAAACATATTAAATGATCATTGTTTGGAGGTTGATGTTTTCCCAATAATTAGCAGATGTGTTGCCAAATTACAGTCTGTGAGCCATGTAAAGGTTTGTTGTGTGCTGTAAGAAGGACTGTCACACCATAGAAGTACATTTCGTGTTTTTAATTAAATACTGGATCAAAAGTAAATACACATAGACGATCATAGACACATTTCTTCCTTGTTTAAAAAATGTTATCAGGCAATGTTCAGTCTAAATGATAATAACCTTATATAAGTTTTGAATTTACAAGATTGTTTGTTGGATTGTGATTACCTTGTACCTAAAATAGACCCTGTCATCATGGTCATGGCTATGTCTGCGTTTGGTGATATTGTGCATTACATGATTTCATCATATTGCCAATGTAAAATAGATAGAATTGTTCTTGTAATTGTATTAGTCTTCAGGAGAGACATTCACAGAATAGATTAAAATTGATAAGTTTAAACCCAAATCTCTATATTCTAATTTACAATGAAAAAAATAGCAATAATCAGGTTATTGAACATAATTAGTTTATAGATGGACCTATAGTTAATAGTATTAGTTTTGAAATTCATCAAGCAAGTATCCTGAATGCTGTTGATTATAAAAGACATTCAATTTTGTTTATTGTAGCAGTTGTGTATTTTTATGTCCCTGCCGCTAGGCGAAGGGAGCATTAAGTGTTACTCCTGACTGTCTGTCCATCTTCCGTCTATCATGTCTATCCCAAATGTATTTTCACATGTTATATGCAAGCTTGAGCAGGGTTATAAGTGTCCTCAGACACATTCTTCTCTTATTTGTTTACATTTTATACTCGCAGTTGACCATTTCGGGGCTCTATACTTTTCTAGAATAAGAGGTGTCAAGGTTGCCTTTTCTTTTCTATTGTTGCTGAAATAATTTTTTTTTACCAGTGCATACTGTGCATTGAGACTTAGTGTTATTTTTATCAGCCAAAATATGAAACAATATTCATTACAAATGTAACAGGTGATGGAATCATTGGTTAATGTAATGTTTATACAAGGATTACACCATCAACTGCCTTGACTGTATTTTTCATGTTCTTAATCTTTTTTCTTGGTAATTAACATTTGTTAGACCAGAAATTTGTTGTTATCAATCTTTTATAATACTCTGTAATTGCACAGATGTTGTTTGATTGCCAGTGAGACAGCTATCCACCAAAGACCAAAAGACAGGATGTAAGCAACTGAAGGTCACCAAACAGCCTTCAACAACCAGCAAAACCAATAAAAAAGCTTTAAAAAGCAAAGACATGACAAAATGTAAAACGAGAGTCAAATGAAAGATCCAACAGCATGATTTAGGGGCTAATCCTGTGTCTAAAGAAAAAAATGGAGGGTCTAATTGACTAATAAGATAAATAAAACAATAAACAAGCTAAACAAAAATTTTGATCAGGCGGGTGGGGGCTACTGTGAAAAAGACAAAATTAAAGAACATGCGTTGCAGACAGCAACAAAGGACAACCTCTGAACTGCTGGCTCCATTTGACTATTTTTGTGACAATAGGTAGGAAACTTAAACCACTCTTCATGTACAATATATATGTGTCTATATAAATAAGAAAATGTGGTATGAGTGCCAATGAGACGACTCTCCATCCAAGTCGTAATGTGTAAAAAGTAAACAATTATAGGTTAAGGTACTGCCTTCAATGCTTATTCTGTCAATAGGATTTGTTCAAAAGAAATTTTTTTAAAAGAATGTATTCTTTATTATATTATTACAAGATTACTTTATTTGAGAAAAAAAGATTTAAATATGAGGATTTTTTTAGCCAATAATTGTCAAAAAGACAACTCAGAAATATTCCATACTAATCTCAGACACTCAATTTATATATAATTTGACTTGAGAGCTTCAATCTTGGATATCAAGTCAGTCCTAAAGTGAATTATTATTTTCTTGCTTGGGCCAAATAAAAGTATATCTGTGGTTCCAGTTACATCCTGAAGACACTGAGATGGATTCTGGTGTTATACTCATTCCTACCGAAAGTATGCTATTTTCTATATGTTTGGTTGTAAAATAAACAGATATGTTACATGTTTAGTTAATTTTGTTGCATTCTGTTAAGAATTTGTTGCATTTTAGCCGTAGAGGATACTTCTAATGGAAATTCAGATGACAGAAGTCTGTGAATTTAATTACATTGTATTGAAATCCACATTCCACAAGATGGGATCGTTCGGAAATTATTTTTCAGAAATGGAAAAAAAAGTTCATGGGTTGGTCAGGTAACTGGAACCACACATATACTTTTATTTGGCCTTAACAGTGAAATATAAAACAGTCAGAACTCTGACTCAAAAAGTCTATTCCTGTTTTAAATTCTGCAAGTTCAAATGTTTTTATGTGGTGAAATCAGTTTTGACTTGTCCTGGTCTGTTCCTGTTTTAAGATACTGTAAATTCGGACATTTATTGGGAGGATTTTATTAATGCGAATAATGCGACTGCATGGGTTTCGCAATAATAAGAACTTGCATTTTGATATCTGATACATATATATCTTTATGCAGATTTTCCTGAAATTGCAATAATTAATCTTACATATTTGTCTATTTTTTAAAAAGGCAATAATTTCTGAATTCAATAACAGTACATGTAGTTTTATCATCAATCCAGGTATTTTTCAATTGCTGTGCCTTAGCTTTTAATCTACAAATGTATGAAATTACAATCTTTACAATATTAATACATACATGTACTTCACAGTTTCTGAAATGAGTATCTGAAATCAATGAAGTGGAATATTAATTGAGTACAACATTGATTTTTCATAGTTTTAAAGGAAAAATTGGTGTTATTTATTGATCTCTTTTGACAGTTTCACAGTGGTTTAATATTTTTAGGTTAACGTTGATGTTTATATTTTAACATGCATACAGCGGAGATTATTTGAGAAACTTTTTGCAGTCTCATCTGGGTGCTTGAAATTTAAATTGTGCACAAGGCCTTTGAAATGACCCATTGTTTGGTAACCTTTGACTTTTATTGGTCAATAAATGTTTTTAAGGTAGTTTTGACTTTTTGAAAGGTTTCACAGGTTTTTTTTGGGGTTGATGTTTGTATTTTTTTAAAACATTTAATGATAATGATTTTTTGTAAAAAATATATTGTATCTGTTGCTTGTGCATGGCCTTTGAAATAAGAGGTGTTTTGCCATTTTGTTGTATAGGTCAGTAATTGTTACAACTATGACTGATATTTGATTGTTATTGACTTGTTTGAGTCTTTAATTGTATTGTGGCTAGCTGTAGTGAAAAAGAAAGGCAACACTCAAGTTGAAAAAATGAAAACAACACATTATAAATTTCATGCGTCCGAAGCACTTTTCAGGATTTATCTTCACCGGAACGCTCAAAGCCGAATGTTTGAAAGCCAAGTGAACTAATGTTATCTGGTGTAAATCTTAACATGTTTTTAAATTATTTGTATCTGAGTTATGAATGTACAAGGTATCCTTGAGGTTTGAAACATTACAAAAGCACAATACTTCACAAAAATGAATTTGTCACTTTTTATTACTAGGCTGAAACACCTACAAACTGATCTAAATTCTTCTTATAAATGTTTCTTTCTTATGATATAAGTATTTTCTTTTTCAGAAGGTTTTTTTTAAATAAATAATTCACCATGAGTAGTGAATTAGAACAACTACGACAAGAAGCCGAACAGCTCAAGAATCAAATTCGAGTAAGTATTTCTTATTTATCAAGAAATCATCCTTGTTTACCAGTTAAACCTATAACATACCAGTGTTTTCATCATTAACAGCCGGAAGTCAGAAATGTTAACCTCCTATTTCACATAATTGCCTGTGATTGAGAAAAAATTGGATATTGCTAAATTTGCTGTTTATTCATTGAACGTTTGCTGTCTATCAGTGAAAACACTGCATCCATGTACACTGTAAATGCACCATACAACTATCTGGTATCATTTTGTTGAAAAACTGACAAAATATTATCACACATTGTTGTTTACATGAAGAGCTATTCCGGTATTGGTTATGTTTTCTTATTAGAAATATTGAATTAACCTGGGTTCTGATTATTCACAATATTACTTTAGATAGACGTGAAGCTATTCAATGTAATTTTTTTTTATTCTAAAAGTTTACATGATCTTTTGTAAAAAGGAATTTGGATGATGTTCTATCCTATAGGTTGCATTTCTGTAAATATAGACGATGCAATTTCCCATAGGAACTCCCTTTGCGGCTAAAACTGTGCCACTTTTACTTTGAAGTTTCGTAAAAAATTATATCCTAGAATGGAAAGCTGATATTCACTACCATTTTATTCAAAGGTCAAAACATAGGGCTATGCGGCATATTTTTATTTTAACATTTATATGCCCTGAACTTGTTAGAGTTTAAACTTATACTAAAATTCTGTACTACCCCTACCTCCACTTTTTGCCAATTTCAGAATTCAATTTTCACCGCAACAATATGTTTTTATACTGGTAACAGTCCCAAGTTATGTCTCTATGTGATGAAACAGAGATCATATACCGAACCAGTATATAAACAAATCAAGTTATCTATGAATATTATATATCTCCCCAAAAGAGGCGTGGTTTGAGAAACAGCTGTATTTACAAAGTGCAACCTATAAATACATGTATATGCATTCATTGTCATATATTTCAACAACCTGTAAAGATATTTATAAGGCATCAAGTGTTTGATAAATGAGTGTTTTGATTTACACCAACAAAATCATCGTAATTCCATGTCTGTTGCTGTTTACTTTTTATGTTAAATGCATTCAATACATAGGATTTATCATGTACCAGGCCAAACATGAAATTAAGATTGTTTGATGTTACCTTCCTACCCTCCTAAAAAGCAGCCCTCCCCGAAAAAAATAACTGACAAAACTTTTCAAATTTTTTTTTCTTTCGTACTGTAACGTGGTTTTTCTTGACTCAAACATGTAACTTATATGTGGCAATAATAAAAATAAAATGCCTGCCTACCTTCCCAGCCCTACAAGGCATGGGAAGGCAACATCAAACAAAGGAGTTGTCATGTGTGGCCCTATGGTACATTCATGTATTATTGTGATCAAAGGGTATCATGATACAAATGTACATGAATCTATTGTTTGTCTTCAGTTTTGCCAGTTGAATTATTTGAGGACTGAGGGGCCACGGTGACAGAGTGGTCTTATTAGTCCCACTCTTGTATCACTAGCCTGTCAACGCTGAGGTAGTGAGTTCGAATCCTGCATGTGGCAGGTCGCTCGACTCCAATCTTAAATTGACTACAAACGTAGGATTGTCAGTTTTCCAACTGATGGTCGGCTGTTCTCTCCGGGCACTCCTGTTTCTTCCACCAATAAAAACTGACTGCCATGAAATACCACAATAGTGCTGAAAGTGGAGTAAAACACCAATCAATCAATCATATTTTAGGATTGTAATAGGAATTAGAAACAGCTTCTGTTCAATCCAAAATAAACAATATGAACGTTAACAGAGTTCTTAAAATCCTTTTTTCCCTGGTGGTCCTTTTAGAAAATCTACTGGGCCTCATTATTATTTCTATTGCAAAATACTAAAATTTTGATGGTCTAACCCTTGGAGAAAACAATAAAGGTACATAGTTTAAAGCACATATGTGATGCATCCACCCGGAATTAGATCCTCATCTCTAAACTTCATGTCAACTTATGAATAATGGAGGTTGTGTTGAGCACCTGTGAGATGGAATTAAAAACTTCTCGTACCAAATTTACTGAAACAGAGATAATCTGATTCCCTTTGAACGGACTGATGCAGACATGGAGCCCTTGCTTGGGGTTTTATTTATTATTTTCTATTCATACCAACTCGTTCCTAAACACATGTTGACTGGTTTATGTCTCCTGTCATTACCCAAAAATATTTATTTTGATTTAGGCTTATGAACATTCTGTGCTTGCTATTTACACCAGGTGTACAATTTCTCTCATTAACATGTATTTACATCCTTCTATAATTATCAGTTTATCTTTTGATTACATCATCAATAAACTTATCTTTTTTGTTGTTAACCTTGGCAATTGTGTTGCCCTTTATGGACTTATTTTGGGAAGAAAATAAAAAAAAACAAATGTTCATATCTTCACACATCCCACTGAGTATTTCATTAGTATTATATGTAATTTGAAAAATAAAATACATGTACATTTGTACCTTTTCTTCCATTTGCCCATCATATTTCAGAAAACCGTCCTCTTTAAATTCTCTTTCATGTTCAGCAGCAAATATTTCTTGAAAATTGTGCAGGAATTCAGAAGTCTCAGGAGTTTTGTACTCCCAGTATCAGCACTTATTTTTACTACATTTTGTTTTGAAAGCAAGACAGTGATCCTATGTTGTGTTTTGTGAAATGTTGTTTGTCTGATGGTCTTTTTCTTTTTTTGCCATGGCGTTATCAGTTTATTTTAAACTTATGAGTTTCTATGTCCCTTTGGTATCTTTCACCCTGTCTCTTCTGATGGGTGGAATGTCAACATTTTAGGTTCAGCCTTTGGTTAAAGTTTTTTAAGACATCAATAACTTTGATAAAACCTAAACTTTTTTCATGTTCAAAAATGACATTTGAAGAACAGAAATTTCTGTATATTACTGATAAATGGACATAGTTTATGGCAGTCATCATTACACTTTTACATAGACAGTAGCAATCGTAGGGGAGACTCGGGGGTTCCTTGGAACCTTTTCCAATTTTTTTATGGTTAATTGTCATGACTGTTATAATCTAGGCTTTTTTAACATGTTAACTGTTGCTATATTATGGTCATGACTTTCCCACACTCAAATTTTGTTTGCTGGATGCTTACGACCACCATTTTTATTTGCTTACGACCACCATTTTTATTTGCTTACAACCACCATTTATATTTGCTTATGACCACCATTTTTATTTGCATTTTGTTATTCTTCCTCTTCATAGTTCTTTCAAACTTAATGCTATAAAAATGTTGATGAAATACTGAATAACGAAAATCTGTATCAAACACTGAAAATTTCCTCAAGACACTTTATGAAAAGGTTTCAAGGAATCAAACAAAACATCTCTATTATATGCTTGGATGAGTCTGTTTATGTATTGTATACTACATTTTTTGTACATGTACCTTTAAAAAAATCTGTTGAAAGTTTATCTGATGAAAGAAAAGTGCATGTGTTCGTACATACATGTATTGCACTTGCTCCCGGTTTCCGTTGCCTATATTTGGTTGACAAATGTTGAATGGGGACTTGTATTGAGATGATGAATTTCAACTTTTAAAGTATGGGTCCCTGTTACATTATCTTCTATCTGTTGCAAATCTTTACTTGATGAAGTAGGTGGAAAGGACTACTTAGTTGAAATAATGCTTGATAAAAGTAAGCAGATTTCACATATTATGATATTCTGAATCTTTTCCAAGCTTTATCACTGTTAAGTCAACATTTAGTATTAGTTCATTTTCTTCTTAAGAAGTAAAGTTCTTATCAGTGTCTTATTGCATTAATGAAGGGTATAGCACGATCTTAGTCTGATGATGTTTCACACCTCAAAAGATGCACTGTCAATAAACAGAACTATCCATGTACAATTCACATCAGTTCACAGAATCCATATTAAAAGTGCAGTGTAATCTATCTCATGATAGTATCTGTTGGTCTTGATTGTCGATTGTAACAAAGTGTAAAAGTTCAAAAAATGGATTGATTACCAATTTATGGCTGGTTAAAAATTTTTTTGGAAGATTTTGACTATATTCCATGTTTTGCAAAAAGTAAATACAGTCATAAAATCAGTTGAAACTGAATGGCTGTTTGCATTATAAATAAAAGAAAAAAATATGTGGTATGATTGCCAATGAATCAACTCTCCACCAGAAGAAGTAGAAATTAACAACTTTACGTCACTGAATGGCTTTCAATAATAAGTGAAACCCTTGCGCATAGTAAGCTATAAAATCTGAATATAATTAACTGAATACACAATGTGCAGATCAATTTACACACTAATACCTACCCCCTTGTGAAATTATGGTGTTGGATGAAAGGCAGACTGTACTGTGTACGTACTAGATGGTGATGAGTAATGCTGTGTATCAGTTAGTAGTGATCTTCTTAGTGGTTAGTCATATAAATAGACTACCATCAGATATAGTAACATCTTAATCTATTTGGCAGATTGCATTCTTGGTAGTTTTCTATTTATAGATTCTTCAAACACAGAATGTGTTAATCAATAAATATATTATAATGAACAAGATTATATCATTATATAATTTCATTTCTAGTGTTTTAATTGCTTCATCTCTTGATGTTTATGTAACCCAGAGTCTTAAGCTGTTGTGGTCAAAGAAGCTAGATTATTAAAAGAGAAATATCTATTGGGAGTCTTTGGTTCCTTGGAAACATACTGAATATATTCTAATTTATAAAATCCTGAAATTAAAAAAAATTGAAAATTGGGATTTGAGATGACCCTCAAAAAGTCGTAAAGTCAAGATCTACCCGATTCGGGGGGTACTGATGAGCATGAGGTCAAACTAGTTTTTTTCATTCCTACAGAACAACATTTGCAAGCCTTGGAAAAGTTTTAGCTACATGTAGTTATACCCTGTTCACTCTGTCTGAATGTGTTTACAATATCACTGAGGCCAAAAAAAAATTGTATGCTTGAGTTACCTACTGTAGGAAATATAGGGATGGTTATTAAATAATTATGCCCCTGGCGTAGCGGAAGGGGCATTAAGTTTTACCCTTGTCCGTACGTACGTCCCAAAATTAGTTTCGTTTCTCTAACTTTAGTTCGCCTCAATTAAATGTTATGAAACTTATCACATACACTATACTTATTACCACAAAACACAGACCAAGTTTGAATTTAGGTGGCGTCACTTGTACCATTCTAGAGTTATGCCCCTTTACCTATGGAAAAATTGCTGAATTTTTTGTTTCCATTCTCTAACTTAAGTTTGCCTCATCCAAATGTTATGAAACTTATACACAACCACAAAACTCAGATCAAGTACGAATAGGGTAGCGTCGCTTTTACTGTTCTTGTGTTATGTTCCTTTATAACGTTATATGCAAGCGGGGGCATCATCTGTGTCCCATGGACCCATGTCCCATTTATTTTAATTTTTTTGCTAACTCTTTACTTTGAATATTTGGGAATCGCCTGCAATTATGTTGAAAATCACTACAAAAATGACCAATTAAACCTTTAGGGCATAAGAAAATAAGATAGGTCAGGAAACCCTAAACTCATACATTGTCATATAAGTATTCAGTGTTTTGGCTTTATTTGCTTATTATAAAGATGTTCCATGAAGAAAATTGCTATATGAATGTGCAAAAATTTTAGAAATTGTGCATAGATTTTTTTGTGAAGATGGAAGGAAAAGATAATTTTTTGCTGTGCTCAAGTCATCAGTTGTAAATTGCTTTCTTTTGATCATGATATTTACTTGGCCATCACCAGGATGAAAGGGTTTCTTATCTATTTTAGTTGTAAATAATCGTAATTATTTGTACAGAAAGTGTTTTACAACTTACATTTGTACAAGAATGTATTGTATGTCAGAAAACCTGCATTTCAGGAGATCAAGTGTTCAATGAAAAATAAAGTTTTGAATTCATTTCTGATTCCAGTTGATTTTAACACTTGGTTCAGACATTTGTTGTGTATTTTCATATTTTTTCAGAGTTACGAAATCCTGTATACAGACAGAAAAATTTTAGACTCAGAATGTTGTGTGACATTAAACTCTTGTATTGTAATATGACGTGCAATGATTATGTATTTGTGCATGAGGGTGTGGATGGGGGTTTACAGAATAGAGAATAATGTGCAAAAAAAAATAAAGTATAGAGAAAAATGGACCAAAAAAATAAAGAATAGAGAATAATGAGGTGCTAAAATTTAAAGAATTGAGAATAATGGGCAAAAAAGTTTAAAGAATAGAGGAAATGGCATAAAAAATTTAAAAAGTACAGAAAAGAAGGACCATCCATCCAGTCCCTCATACATGTAGTCCTCGTTTTTGTTAAATGATTTACGTGTACTTATGATGTTCAAAGTACTTGTATAGCTACAATTTCATGTAAATTGTGTAAGGTCTCTCCTTGGTTGAATGATTCATATCAATGTTCAATCTTGAGGTTAAATGGTCTCAAGGCCAAGTTAAAGTTTTTATTTAGTTTCACATATCAACAAAGATAAAAAATAAAATCATTGTCTTGTGAAGTTTGAATCCTTTTTTGAGCTCTCCGGCTCTCTGTAATAACTCAAAAATGTAAAGGAGAAAACCTTAGAACAAAGTATAAGGATGTGTCAAAGAACAGCATTGTGTCTATAATACCTACTTAAAAGGATTTTAACAAGTTTTTAAATAGGTCATTAAATAAATCTTTAATAACAATGTTAGATGGTAAGTGTATATTATATCAAAAGAAATTTCATTGCTACATGTACATGAATAAAATTGATCGGATGTGATTCATTTAAAATACATTTGATAAAATCTGTTAGCAATAAATATTCATTGTTTTTCATCAAATAAAAATCATACCTGCATCTTGGCACAAAAATGTAGAGGGATTTTTTTTTCAATCCAGCTGATTAGAAAAGAGGGGGATGCAGTGTTGTAAATTGTGTCAAAAAACATATGCCCTTCACATCTGATGAATAATTTATGCTTGAAATAAATGAATAAAGGAACAGATAAAAATGGCCAAAAAATAAAGAAAATAAAATAAAAGGGTAGCTTAAATGTAAAGAAAAAAAATGACCTTCAAAATTAAACAAAGACCCCCCTTTCCAGACCCCAATATAAAGCCAGTCAGCATCAACAGGGTCAACACCTGACAGACATGATTTTAATTGACAATTTTTTGGCCATGTTGGATGATGTCCAAAACCAGCTTGTGTTGTGGTGAAGATGGGCAGATGGGAGGGGAAATGTGGTGAATTATTTTGTGTGATCAGCTCCTTCTACAGTTTTCTACTCAAATCCCAGAAAATTCAAAAGACACATTGCACATTGTGCACGGTCTATTATGAAATTGTTTGAGGAATTTCTCATTTTTCCAAACTTTTGAACTTAGTTAGCAGTTTACAGTATCAAGGATTTTTAGCACTATGCAAATCCTTGATAAATATTCCTTGCGACCCAGCCATTTGAGTCTTTGATCCATATTTGTACATTATCACAACTCCATTGATTTATGTACTATCAATATCATGAATCTTGTAACTTATGAAAAATTTCTGTTTTGGGTTTAAATGGTGTTTTGCAGTTTGAAATCTTCACGCTCAATTGTTATAGCAATTGTAATTATTTGTCAAACATGTGTTCCAAAGAATAGATTATTGGCACAGACGAGATATGGATCACTTGAGTATAAGTGTAAATAGGACTTAGATCAATATCTCCATGGTATTTTATAATTATATAGTCTCGATCAATGCAGTGACATTATGCCGATTGCAATCTGCAGAAGACGACAAAATTACTGTTACTATCGGATCTCGATCAGGCGTTAGGATGCTGTCACAAAGATGGTGACAAATAGTGAATCTTCTATTTTATTCCCAGAGAAAATTATGATAAAATTCATAGATTCTTGATTAAATCAAAAATGTTAATTGAAGGAAATCCCTAAAACACAATAAAGAATACTTCTTTTAACAACTTGCCCTTTGGTCTAATGAAAGACAAATTTTGAACTTGCTGAAATAAAGAAATTTCTAGAATGCCATGGAAATTGAAATGACTTGTAGTGGAAGTTCTTAACCTACTTGAAGCACACAAGTTCACTTTAGAGTAAACTAAAAAGTAGGATCTCTTGTCCAAATCATGATGTAATATTTTAAACAGGATTTTCCATAATAAATATCTGTGACTCTTTCACAAAAATCTTAGGATTAAAATTAATCGTAAGTTATACTGAAATTTGTATGACTTACAAGTATTTTTTTCTTAAGACTTTTTGTGAAAAGGGTTGCTGGTCATTAAAATGGTGAAGTACAGCTGGCAGTTGCTAACTGTTTCTTTGCAATGACTTATGATAATGATAATTTGTCCAGATAAAATATTTGACTGTTATCTCAAGTTGGAGTTACCCAAGGATTTTTTTTGTGTGTGTGTGTAGGGGGGGGGTGTAAAAAAAAATAGATATTTGGAAGGACAAGACAGTCATTCATTATTTATAAGAGTCTATACATCTAATGGACTTTTTTTTAACTTTCAGGAAGCCAGAAAAGCAGCAGCAGACACCACACTTGCACATGCTACCGCCAATGTCGACCCAGTGGGAAGAATACAGATGCGCACAAGACGTACACTGCGAGGTCATCTCGCTAAAATATATGCCATGCATTGGGCTTCAGACTCCAGGTGTGTAGATGTTAAAAGTTCAATAAACCTTGTATCATAGGTCACAATTTCCTGAACATTCTTGGTCATAGCTACTTTCAGTGTTAGGCCAAATAAGATACAATATAATATTGTGTAACTGCTTTTGCCTAAGCTAAAATGTATTTGTCCATAATTTTATATACTGACACCAAAAATGTTATTGGGCTAGTTCCTAGATGCAAGGTATGCATGTCCCTTCAAATCATGTTTCAATGTTTTAAACATTTGTTGACCTTTGATCCTAATTAAATGAAAAAGAAAACTATTCGCATATTTGGTTTATAGAATTTTATTTGTAGAATTTTATTCACAAACATCTGTTTCAATCCATATGACAATTTGCTCCTCTAGAACATTGTTTTATGTAAGATTAAATCTTTTTTCATTTGAAAAAAAGCGATTAACTTTATTTAAAAAAAAAACCCTGTCATTTAGTTCATATACATGTATCTCTTTTTTATGACCCTCTGTCATCATAACAGTTCATACAAATTAAAACGTATTATGGTTTAAATCAATGTTAGTATTTATGACCTACAGTCATGACAATGTATACTAGAAATTAAAATGCAAGATATTGTGTTGGACAAATCAAAGTGAAGTTAGGCATTTATTTGAAAATGGCCAATGATTCATTTGGTCACATCATATATAGCTTGTATGGCTTCAAGCTTGATAGGAAAATCTGATTTATCAATTATTTATGTCTGACCAAATTGTTTAATTCTTTCGTTTGTCAATATTTCACACTTTCATACTTTCACAGACAGTCAAGTTATAGAGGTCTGTCTTTTAGTTTTACACCACATTTGCACGTTAAGTGAAAAGATGGATTCACTTTAGACTGCACCCCTAAAAATTAGCATTGTTCTTTAAATGACAGGTGTGAGAAAACCAGGAAAATCAATTTCTTTGAATTATGACTGCTAATTAAATGTTATAAAAATATTTTCAGGGCTCTGTATAATGTTGGAGAGAGTATATGAGTTTCCCTTAAATAGGCAAATTAAGCAATGTGATTACAAAATAGGATATAAAATGGCTATGGCATTGGAAAAATCTTGAGAAAAAGTTTATATCTTTTTAGCAGTACATTGACAGTGTATTGAATGGGGACTTTGCCAACAAAAATACATGTATAGCTCTTTTCACAGATAAATAGGGGATGGTTATTGCCAGAAATATTTGATTTCACTTCAGCATACAGAATTTATGTTTAGGTGGAGCTCCAATGAAATTTATACACATGCAGCAAGCAATGAAGAGAGAAATCAATATCAATGCTATTATCTGCATTGTGCCAGCAGGTCCTCAAAAGTCTGATTTCTACATTTGCAATAGTTTATACATTCATCATGTTTATAATATTGATCAACCAGTGTATAGACAATGTAGCAGAGGAAATAGTGTACGAAGTTATTGTCTGGCTGAGACAACTTTGAACAGCTGTGACAAATAATTATTTATTGATACAATGTTGCTATAAAAAAATGTCATATATTTTAAATACATTTTACATTAGTCAATCGGTGTAGTTTGTTTGGTAAACCGCCCTAGTCTGTCTCGGCAGGCGACCGAGTCATCCATCTTGTTTACCCTAATTTCTATTTCCAGATTGTCACAAAATAAACATTTTAAGGAGCATTTACTTTATTATAAATGAAAATATTCTTTAAAGTCTTTCTGGTATTTTGGAAATTATTCTAAAAATAATCATTATACTTTCGCTTACTAGGCATAAAATACCGAGGTGTTGATAAAATTGAGACCTCGGTAAACTCTGGTTAAATTTCTATGTGAAGTTATGTTCATTCCAACCTAAAACTTAGTACACATTACATTATGATGTGAACTTTTTTCTAATACAACAGCAAATTAGGGTTCTGACCCAGATTCTGTTGAAACATGATAGTATGAGCTGGGCATTGTGTCCTATAAACACATATTCACATACAAGTCATACTATTCATCAATTTAAACCTTGGGAAGCAGTTGACAAGGAAACGTGTGCGCTTCACATTGACAATACATATATAATAGGTCAGGATTAGTCATACTGACAGGAAAAATAATAGAATTTTTTTTTTTTTTAAATATGCAATTGGCAACCTACAAATATTTTGCAATAAAGTTGTTGTGTTATAGAGTTTGATTGGTTAGCAGACCTGACATGCAATAAACTATCCATGAAATCTTGATAAAAATAGAATAAAAAATAGCGCAGAAGCTTAAACCAAGTGAATGACGTCAATAAAGATGAGTTATTTCATCCTTACAACCCTCCCAAGTGTAAAGTGCACACTTGCAGTGGTTCTTTTTAAAAATTAACTCTTTCATGTATTGAGTAAAACAGTAATTTTTGGTGATTTGAAATAATGGCTCTCTGATATACAATTGTATGATATTGTCATAAAATATTTGCCCTTTAGAATACCAAAATTTTCCAAAATACCAACATGGTAAATACATTCCCTGATTAACTGTCTGAATGTTCTCTTCTTAATCATTTACTGGATTTCATTTAAAATTTCTGTGAAAGGGGTAGACATCTCTGTTACCATTACCAGTGACATGTTTCAGTAAAATATTGATAGATTCTTTCTTGCATTCATTGTGTAGTACAACTGTGCACCTTTAGTTACATTTTTTGGTGCAAATCATATTTTTGGGTGTGACATAGAATACAGTCACTTTGCCATATATATCTGTAAAATGGATATGTGTAAGTATGATATTTTTAGCCATCGATGCTCACAGGTTTTCCAGTAAAACCGTTAAAAGTGACATCAGTGAAAAAAGATGGTTGCACCTTATAGTTATACTAAGATATTGAAGAGGTGATATCCATTTCATTTATTTATTCTCTCTCTTGCATTCAGTAACGGGTTGTAAGTATATTCTTTGTATATGTTTTTTCATTGTTGTATTTTAAAACTAAAATCATAAAATTTATGACAAAAAAAAAATGAGTAGTGATTCCAGATTAAAAGTGATTGTCAAGTTTTGCCATTCCTTTTCCTGGATTTGCTTTTGTTTCGTGGTAGATCTGCATGATTTGGTAGTGAAATTACAGAATGAAAAAAAGGAAGATTTATTTAAAATTGCATATTAACACATCTTGCATGATATACTCTCTCTGTCTATTGTAGTTTTATCTTCAGCATTGTTGTAATTCATTTTTGTAATTATATCATATGATTTATGTCTCGTCACTTTTACCATGTTTACATATATATATATATACATGCACATTATTTCATGATCATCATTTTCCTAATCTATAGAGGCAAATTTGCTGATGTTAATTGGACATCTATTTCATTCTGCAAAGTGGGAAATTTTCACAGAGGGGTTATTTATCGCTCAATTTCGTGATTAACGCGATTAGGAAAAAATTTTCTCCCACACAAATCTCATCTCATGGGGACAATAAAGAAACGAAAATAAAACCCTTAAAAAAGGGTTTGGCCTTTGAAATCTTGAATTTATTCTCAGTAAAAATAATCCACTTAAGTTTGGAATGAAATTTCTCATGTTAAATGTATGTGAATATTTTGAAAAAATTCTTTCTGTTGTTTATATTTTAATATTGAACATAGAAACAAGGACTTGTAAAATTTGTCATGCAAATGATCTCATGAGATTTATATATTTTTCACAGAAATTACTAATATATCATAATTTTATTTGTAAGCATTGAAAAATTAGAAAAATAATGTTTTGTGGACACTATGTGTCTGAAATCATGTAGAGTGCATTGCTCTTCAAATTTTTTTTTTTTTTTGGTAATAGATGGATTCTCATAACATACAACTATTATATACTTTTTGTTAATTTTTTGTCAATATTTTCTGCAAACAAAAAGTAATTGTGAACCATTTATTGTTTTTGCTAATTTACAAGGCAAAGTACATATACCCTTAGTTTCTGTACCCATACTGTACCCATTCTTTCCCTTAGTTAAAATACTGTTTCATTTTTGTGTGTATTTCATGTGAACAAAATAGCATTCTTAGTCTGTAACAGCAATAAAATGAAATCAAAATACTTTTAGCCAATAGCTGAATGTCGGCTTTAAATGTGTACAAACAGTAAATTTGCCTTTTTTTTCTTAAATGGCAAACTGACACAGCAAGCAAAGACAGACAAACAATTGTCTTTTGGAATTAATTTGCATTATGTTTTTTTTTTCCATAATTGTTGCATGACTTGTGTCCATTTATTTTTATACTCCAGTTTTCTGTTCTTAAAATATGAGTTTTAGATGCAAGATTTACTTTTAGTGGATTTTGACCTAGAAATATTTGTATTGATTTGACATAACATTATTTCAATCTTTTATCATGTATGTTTAAAGTTGTTAATGTTAATGTTCACATACTAAATTGAGATTTTGCACTTCTTGCATGCTAACATTGGTGACCCTAATTTGAACTCTTTAAGAAATTATTAATGCATTTTACAAGGTGTTTTGGCCTAGGAAATTGCTTCTACTTTCCAAGAAAACTGAATTTGGGAATGGCTTGATTAGGAAATGATAGGATCAGCTTTTCTCTTGGTGACAGGAAAAGAATATGGAAGCATGACCATTTTAAAGCACCAACATATCTTTATATCGAAAATTATTTGTTTCAGTCTTTGATAAAAAGTGATTTCAGTTTTTGATTACACCAATAAAGTATATTTCAAAATGTGTAGGATTTTGTATGACTAGCTTGAAAATTATGTTTTTGTTAAGACAAACCCCCTGTTTTTATTTTTTTGTCTATTCTGACCAAAATTAGGTCTTCCAAAGGATGAATTTAGCTATATTGGTTAAATTTCACTGTTCTGATGTTGCCAAACATTCTTTCATTGTGAGACCAAACTTAAAGTGACTATAAACAATTGATCAAAATAGCTTTGGTAATATTTTCATGTTTATAAATGCAACAAACCTAGAGCAGCTTTATTTTTAATTGAAAGCTTGTTTCTCAAAAACTGGCTTGCTTTCTAACTAAGTTGCTTTTCCAATGTTTAATTTATTAAATGTTAAAGCTTCTTGGCACATATATCTATTGAATTGCAAGAAAATGTCAATTCTAGGATTTTTTTTTTTAAATTGAAAAATAAAAAATTCAGATGATAGATTTATACATGAATATGTATGGTGCAACCTTCTTTTTATAGAAACTGTGCCTAAGATATGTGATTTAAGCTTTCTGCTAAAAGTCCAGGGTTTCTTTCTTGTTTGAGCAACAGACATATTTTTTTCATTTTTCCACATGTACAGTGACATTAGCAAATATCATGATCATTCTCAGTTCTTACTAATGTATAGTTTACAGTGCTTACATGGAGGTACAGTTACAAAGAATCATAATTCATTTCATTTATAAACAAAAGTTTTAATCAGTCATTGAAGACCATTTGACAGAGACTACAGGGCTCGTGCAACTGTGTGACTTAGGACAAAGAAGTTGTTTTCCATCCATCACTTAGATATTAAAAGACAAAAATGTTTTTCTAGTTGGGAGGGTGTTCAAACAGTCGCTTTAATCATCATTGTCATCAATTAAATTACCATTTTCATCAAGTTAATGTAACAGCAATTTTCATTTATGAGTATAGAAAAGACAAGAAACAAAGCATTGAATTGGTAACTGGTCATGTGCTATTTCAAAGAAACAACTTTTTATGCAAACAAATCGTAAGAATTTTTTTTTTCATTTCCGGCACTTGTTTCAGTGGCAAACTTCAAAGATTTTGATTTTGTTTAAAAGCGATTAAAAATGCCATCACTGAATTTTGATGATGCATTTATTGCATAATGTTTGATGATCTTGTCGAAGATTGTTTATTTAAAAAAAATTTCCATCTAACCTCCTTTGCAATTTATACTAAGCACAATCAGAGACGGACCAATTATGACCAAAATACATAAACTTACAATCATACTAGAGGCATGCATGGCTAAGCTAAAAGGAGAAAGATGTGACCAAAAGGGAACAATACACATTCAATATATATTAATAGACATTTAGTTTAAATTCCCTTAGTTACAAGTATATGTTTTAATGCAAATGCACTGTTTCAATTTATTAAAGTTGCTCATCTTGGTTAATTTAATACATTTTGAAATGAAAAACAGTTAGTATTATAAACAGAATAGTTTTCCTCATTAAACTTGAATTCATTATATTTAATGATTATTTCTTTTTCTCTAAATCTGCAAGAGAGCTAGATATTTAAATGGTAATGTCTGACTAGTAAAACTTTAAAGAACTATTCAAGTGGCAAGTTAGATCAATTAGAAAATCAAACATTAAAGTGCTGGAGTGAACAAGCACTTCTCTTTTAAGTCTCATCACTTTTATTATTTCAAAAAGAGAAGTCACTACTCCCTATGACGCCCTTGACTACATGAGGACAGAAACACATAGAACTGGCAATTTTTAGAAATATTTGAATTTAAAAAACCAAAAAAACATTCTTCCACATCTAAAAGGAATTAAATACTAAATCACCATGTTTGCACTGTTGCTGGCTTTATCATGTTAAATTTGATAGTAGATGAATCGGACATATATGTCGCTCAGGATAATTGAAGGTGTGTTTTGTGTGCTGCCTCTAATGTATATGGTTATATTTAACTGTGTTTTCTGTTTACAGAAATTTAGTGTCAGCCTCACAAGATGGTAAATTAATTGTATGGGATGGATATACTACAAACAAGGTAAACTGTTTGTGATTTGTCAAACTATATACTATATCATGTTCTGTGGATTCGTTTATTTTCGTGGGTACCAATTTTCGTGGATTGAGGAAAAATTGTGTTTATGTGGATATTTGATTTCGTTGTTTTGCCAAAGTCTGCATACAAGTCTTTAGAAAATTTGTACCCTGAACACTGAAACTTGTGGTTCACCTTTATTTGTATAAAATCAACGAAAACTCGTATCCCACGAATAATAATGAATCTACAGTATATTGCAATCACTTTGTTTGTCCGTCATTTTGTCCAACAAAATTGTTTTCTTCACACTTTTCTCAGAACCTATTAAACAGAATGACTACACATTTGGTCAGCAGCCCAACAGTGATGAGTTGTAAGGTGTTTGTGCTTTTGATATAAAAAGAATGAAATTATCGATAATCCTTTAGTTTCTGAAAAAAAAAAATTATTATTACTTCACTGAGAAATGGAGAACTAGAGAATCCAGATTGGATATTTTATTGATTACTAACAATACAACAGAGAGAGAGAGAGAGGGAGAACATTCCTCCATTAATTTCATATTTTATGAATGAATGTGTTGGCCAAACTATAAAATTTTAGAAATAACTGTTGCAAAAGGAGAAATACTTTGTTTTGCATGAGTACTATGGTATAATCTGTTACTGTCTCACTGAAATGACAAATAGAGGATATGTATGAATATTTTGACTCAATTGTCTAGGTACATTTTTGTGTATCAACACTTTTTTGATGTCAGAAAACTGGTAGTTAAAACAAAAACTACGAGGATATTTTAAGTTGTATTTGTTGAAATCAGATCCATGGATATCCGAAAAACATGCCAATCACATGAAAAATAACTTGATCAAGAAAAAAATTAAATGGCTAAAAATAAAAGAACAAAGTTGATAATAACATTGGATATTTTTACAGACTCTTGTCTGATATGATGAATATATATGTCAGTTCTTATCAGTACTTTGTTATAAAAAGTGTATAAAAGTTTATCATTTGAGGAAATACCTTAGTTGTTTATCCTCATATCTAAGTTGCTCAGAAGATTTACTTCCTTGAAAGACAATAACAATTTTTGTATTGATTTTCTTGTCAATGGGTATACTCTAGTGAAATCATTTTCCTTTCAAAATTAAATTTTATTGAGTTTCCTTGGTAACTGGGAAACCTGTTTTCACATTAAAAATCAGAAAAGGGGAAAGTTGAAATACCAATAAACAACAACAAATGATTATTGAAATTCTATGTGTGTTTTCTGTTGTAGAAAATACTGATATTAAATGTTGGAATAGAAGGGTGATTTTATAAAAACAGCAAAAATTAAGACACCTGTGAACTTATCCCGATACTGTATTCCCTAACTGTCAGTGACTGATTCAATGGGGAAATAGAAAGACAGGTCCCTCTTATGATTGGGAAAAAAAACAAAATTTTCCCCGCTACAATCCATGCTCTTTGTTACAAAAACAGCCAATTGCAATCCCTCCTTACTGCAAACCCTAGATCCACCCCTGAAAATGTTAATATGTCTTTGAGGAATAATTGGAACAATCAGTTTAGCGGAGAAGTTTAAAGAATATTTTGTATTTTTTAGGTACATGCTATACCATTGAGATCTAGTTGGGTGATGACTTGTGCCTATGCTCCATCTGGTAGCTATGTAGCTTGTGGTGGATTGGATAATATCTGTTCTATTTATAGTTTAAAAACCCGAGAGGGAAATGTCCGTGTCAGTCGAGAACTACCAGGTCACACTGGTTACCTGTCCTGTTGTAGGTTTATAGATGATAACCAAATAGTGACCAGTTCAGGAGATATGTCATGGTATGGTTTATGTTATATTTGAATTGTCAAAATACGTTCCTAATTCTGATGTCACAAAAATATAATTTTGCTATGGGTTATATGTCAATGAATTGGCAACCCATCAACACATTCATTTTATGGTCATGGCCCTCAATAGAGCTGTCTTAAGAGAATGTTTTAAGTTTGTTTTATGAAGTTAATTTAATGTAGACAATTCAATATGTTCTACAGTCTTTAACATTGCTAAAAGAGAAAGTTATAAAAAATTACAAGTAAAAAATAAACCTATATAACATCTATATATCTACATTCAGAAGAAGGTATTTCCTATAATTGATATCATAAAATTTTGTTATGTGTGGATACAATGATAGCTATAGATATAAATTAAGTACTCTAAGAATCGAACTCTTTATCATATAAAGAATGTATGATGAATTTTAGACAGTAACCCAATAACATCAGAAAAATAGATAAAATATTTATAATTATTCTCATAGGATTTTATTCTTTCATCATTTCAAACCGTATTAATATGAATCAATTTTTCAACTTCCTTTACAGTGCATTATGGGATATTGAAACTGGCCAACAGACAACAGCTTTTACAGGACACACTGGTGATGTTATGAGTTTGTCACTCTCCCCAGACTTTAAAACTTTTGTATCTGGAGCATGTGATGCTTCAGCTAAAGTAAGTTTAAAGATTGAAATGACAGTTTAATCATATGCTGGTAATTCCAACACTCTTCTATGGTACCAGATACACAATGTTTGAAAATACCATTGAAAATTTATTGTTTGATAGGAAAATCAATATGGTTTTACCTTAAGTATTTGTTCCTGAAAACCTATGGCTAAAAGTTTTAAAAAAATCTACATTTGATGTTATTTCCTTGCTATGTTTTGTCATGCATGAAGACAAATGATAAATTAACTAGCAAAAAAATTTCTTTTTTTCACTGTTAGACTTACCATGGTAAAAAATGACGAGTCCCTGGACTCACCTTAAAAAGTTTTAATGAGAACCCTGTTGCATTAAAAAGAAAAACAATCAACATTAAAAAGAAAAAAAATCAACTTGGTTCTTGGTTAAGGTGTCCTGGAAGTGTATTGTCTTTCATTACCAAGCTGTTCTTTATGTAAGAAGAAGGAATATCTGAAACTGGCTTTTATCAATATTAATATCCACTTCATATAGGTCAAGGTCTGTTGTGATACATGTCTGTCTATTAATTAGTCTGTTGCTTTCCTGATTAAAAAAAAGATAAAGAATGCTTCAACCAAATTAATTGAAATAATGTTGCCATATAATGAGCAATTGGCTGCTGATTAAGTTCCATTTTTGTTGATATTGAAACCTTGACTTGTTTATTCTTACCCTTGATAAAACCTTTCCATTAATGCCTAATTGGTGACTGATTTTTTTCTTCCAACAATGCATACATCCAATTATCAGTTAGTTGTGGCATTTCAAGTTCAAAGTATAGGTCAGTCACAACAAATTCATCTACTCTAATGATTATTTCTAAACCAGTTTAAGCTTTACATTTACCTTAACAGTAATCCATGTCATCAAAAATGACAGTTTCTCTCCAAGTCATTATTTGTCTCGACTAAAAAGATAAAGGATCAAAATTGGATATCTCAGCAACAGATTGATGAAAATAAGTTCAGAAATGACTGACCTTTTTTTTATAGAAAAATAAGATGTGGTATGATTGCCAATGAGACAACTCTCCACCAGAAACCAAATTACAAGTTTACAACTATAGGTCATTGTACGTCCTTCAATTATGAGCAAAACCCATACTGCCTAGTTAACTATAAAAGGTCCTGAAATGGCTAATGTAAAAGTTGACTTTAAACAATTTAGCTTAGAAATTACCCCTGAAATGTAATAAATTATTATGAAGTAAGAAAACTTTGATTGTTGATGACAGTTGAAAGTCAGTTCTGATCTATGATTGTAGGCCCAATCATGTGCAGTTTTGATGTATAATTGTTGGCCCAATTATGTAATAAATTATTATGAAGTAAGAAAACTTTGATTGTTGATGTTCAGTTTTGATCTATGGTTGTAGGCCCAATCATGTTCAGTTTTGTTCAATGATTGTAGGCCCAATTATGTTCAGTTTTGATCTATGATTGTAGGCCCAATCATGTTCAGTTTTGATCTATGATTGTAGGCCCAATTATGTTCAGTTTTGATCTATGATTGAAGGGCCAATCATGTTCAGTTTTGATCCATGATTGTAGGCCCAATCATGTTCAGTTTTGATCTATGATTGTAGGCCCAATCATGTTCAGTTTTGATCTATGATTGTAGGCCCAATCATGTTCAGTTTTGATTTATGATTGTTGAGCCAATCATGCTCAAGTTTTGTTTTTTACTCGGTGGGTTTGCAGCAATAAACTGATAATTGAGACTAATGTAATCATAGCCTTGTACCATATTTTACAGTTTATATTTATATATGAGGTCTAGTTTTCAGTGTGTTTTTTGCACACTTTTAAAAGCCTATTTTGCTTCTTCCTCTTCCTCTGTCTACTCGTTCTGCTTCTCTTCCCTCTTGATTATGTCTTCTACTTCTGCTTTGCTTTTTTGGATTTTGTCCTCAATTGATCACAGAGGTGAGATATGTTACAATTCAAATATGTGATTTTGTCACCATAAGAGGACCCAATAATGAAAGGTCAATGACATTTGGTATGTAAATGCATTATGTATTACAATTGGCACATCTCATTTAAATGGAGTTTATTCGTCTCTGGCTTTTCAGTCCACAGTCATTTATTTTTGGCATAGCTTACCTGTTGGAAGTATTGCCATTGAAAGATGTTTACATATCTGTACGAAAAATATATTTTTCAATATCAAAATCAACTAAAGAAAACATGGCTACATGTAGCCTACTATGCAGTATGGGATTTGCTCATTGTTGAAGGCTGTATGGTGCCTAATACTGCTAACATCCACGTCCTTTGATCTGTGGTGAATAGTTGTCTAATTGCATATTCAACCACACCTTATTATATGAGAAAATGTTCTGCAAACTGATGATTTTCAATCTTTGTTTGTTTCACATGTGCAATATTGACTATTGTTATTAATTTGATATTTGACTGTACTTTTCCCTGCTAATCACATAGGCATGATCAGCAGTGAAATGTCAGATTCATTACCCTCTTATGTAAATCTGTCAAATATTGGATGCTGCATAATTAAAGTGACATTCAACGTCAAAGATTCAGTGATATATCATTAAAAGTCAAGTTATCTTCCAAGGATAATTATTGTCCTTGTAAATGCTCATTAAATTTCCAATAATCAATATTGTCAGGTGCTTAAGCTTGTTATCGTGTGCTTACACCTGTAATTAAAGCTTCTTAAAGGTGGAGCCATTGTTGTTGATCATTAGAGAAATTCTGGGAAGAGCATCTGGATTTTTGTCGAGTCTGCAACTTTTGTTGCATAAAGCTCGACATAGGGATAGTGATCTGGAGGATGCGGTATTAACTAACTTCTTAGAAGCTTTATACTTCAGAGGGTAGAAGACCTGGATGATTCATACTTGGTATATAGATGCCTTATGTTATGAAGTTTCCGTCTGTCATATGACCATTGTCCTTGACCTTATTTTCATGGTTCAGTGACTACTTGAAAAAAAAATTCAGATTTTTTGTAATGTTAATACACCAGTTTCACATTTAACTACTCATGTCTAATCTAATAAGCCAAACTATGAAATCACACGATAATTTCCGAGAGTTCATCAACTGGGGGCTATCGGTTGATAAGCAGTGACCATGCAGACTTGGAAAAAAATCATCTGATTTAATGTTTGTGTTTACATGTCAAAGCAACATGAGCATCATTTGAATCAAAATATAAAAATTATATTGACGAGACAACTTTATTAACAATGACACATTCAAAGATTATAAAACGGACTACTGCTGTGTTGTTGGTTGCGGTAATATACGATCTGATATGCCGCCTGGCTTTAATTGTCACAAATTCACGCTGAGGTCGTTCACTTAACGGGAAGAATAAATTAGATAAATAAGCGGGGCTCACTACATATTATTTGGTCATAAATTAAGAAGTCAATTTACACCTTAGCCATGTGGAATCCTCGTTTTACCTTGAACAATCTCACCAGGTGACAATTGATAAAAACGTACCCTTATCTATACATACAGTTACTGATAAAGGGCAACTATTTGATTGATTTATTCAACTTTTGTACACAATTATTTCCTGCATCCTGCAGATTATTCTTTTCCATCCTGCCTGGTCATACAAGGTTCATTGGTCAATATAGAATTTCCATGGTTTGGTCTGTTTCTTGTATACTATAAGCAATAGGTCTTCTATGTTCTGTGTATTGAATGATTATATTGAAGGTGTACATGTATTTTCCGGCTGGGTTTATCTGACCTTGACCTCATTTTCTTGGATCATAAATGTTAATGTGATACTTGTAGTAAAACTTTGTATGTAGGACTATCAACATAAAATCAATGGTCAGTATTGAAGGCGAGATATTTCAGTGTGTGCACTCTTGTTAAAAATAACATGGAGCTTGAAGTGACCTAATTGCAGTCTGAAATTAAGATTTTTATGTCGTTTGGATTTTTTTTTTACTCAAATGAATACTGTAAATTCAGAAATTATTGCAAGATGTTTATTGTTGCAAATAATGCGACTGGGTGAGATTCCCAATGATAAGAAATCGCATTCTGATTTCTGACAGATGTAGATATATCTGTATGCAGGTTTTCCACAAATTGCAATAATAAATGCACTCAATAATTTCTGAATTTACAACTTATATTGATATTTATTCCAATTAGGACGTAAAATATGCCTTATTATTCATTGCAACTCCTACATCAATCGTGACAGCCATTATGAGCAATTATTATGTTGTTGGAGTAGCCAAGGTTCTTTGCCAGTTTTTTTTATCAATTCAAAATGTATTTTGAAAATTATGCACCACAACTTTCAATAAAACTTTTGACTCTCACTTATCTACTTCACACTTTAAAGCTATGATGCCACTTTAATGCTATGCTGATTGATTACCTTGTTTGTAACGGTATTTTGCTTGTCATAAATATTTAAATGAAGGGCAAACTGAGATGAAAGTTTTCTGTCATGTTTTGCTTATCATATATATCTAAGCAATGAAGGGCAAACTGAGATGAAAGTTTTCTGTCATGTTTTGCTTATCATACATATCTAAGCAATGAAGGGCAAACTAAGATGAAAGTTTTCTGTCATGTTTTGCTTATCATATATATCTAAGCAATGAAGGGCAAACTAAGATGAAAGTTTTCTGTCATGTTTTGCTTATCATATATATCTAAGCAATGAAGGGCAAACTAAGATGAAAGTTTTCTGTCATGTTTTGCTTATCATATATATCTAAGCAATGAAGGGCAAACTGAGATGAAAGTTTTCTGTCATGTTTTGCTTATCATATATATCTAAGCAATGAAGGGCAAACTGAGATGAAAGTTTTCTGTCATGTTTGCTTATCATATATATCTAAGCAATGAAGGGCAAACTGAGATGAATGTTTTCTGTCATGTTTTGCTTATCATATATATCTAAGCAATGAAGGGCAAACTAAGATGAAAGTTTTCTGTCATGTTTTGCTTATCATATATATCTAAGCAATGAAGGGCAAACTAAGATGAAAGTTTTCCGTCATGTTTTGCTTTTCATATATATCTAAGCAATGAAGGGCAAACTGAGATGAAATTTTTTCTGTCATGTTTTGCTTATCATAAATATCTAAGCAATGAAGGACAAACTGAGATGAAAGTTTTCTGTCATGTTTTGCTTATCATATATATCTAAGCAATGAAAGGCAAACTGAGATGAAAGTTTTCTGTCATGTTTTGCTTATCATATATATCTAAGCAATGAAGGGCAAACTGAGATGAAAGTTTTCTGTCATGTTTTGCTTGTGGCAAAGAGTTATTTGACTAAAAGGTAGCCTTGTTGTTACTGATTACTATATCAACCTCAGATTCCCCCAAAAATGTATGCACGGGTAAAAAGGAAGGTCCTTTCCAAAATTTGTGAAATGTGGACAAAAATATGGGTAAAAAACTTTGCTTTTGTTATTTATGTCCCCTTTCACCTCTAAAAGTTGTAAACAAAAAAGGACAAAATAAATTAAAAAAATTAACAAACAGCACAAATACTTGTCATATTTCCAAAGAATTAAACAAAGAGATAATTAAAATCTAGGACTATCAGATATTATTTGATGTGATCTTAAAAAATTTGATTTCAATGAAAGGAATATGAAGATTGTGGCAGTTATAAAATGTTTCATCTTTTCAGTTATGGGATATAAGAGATGGTATGTGTAGACAGACATTTTCTGGACACGAATCGGATATCAATGCAATAACAGTAAGTATAAACAAGATTTCGTTTTTTCCTTTAGATACAGGTGCTGGAGTTCTTAAATGAAAAATCCTTCATAAATATGAACAGTAAATTCATTTAAGTTTGTGAAAAATCTACCACGGTTTTGTTACTATTAACAAAACTGCTTGGATAAGTGAATTAGTGTTTTCAAAGACATATCTGGACATTTTCTTATAGTTCATACAATACAACAAGATATTTTGGTTAAAAATCTCGCTTGAGTGTGTTGAAACAGTCCATTATTAGGGCCCCGTCGAATAGGGGACGCCCTATAGTGATCAGTCTGTCCGTCCGTCCTTCATTCCGTAACAAATTGTGTCCGCTCTATATCTAGAGAACCAATATGATTTCAAAGTTTGTACTTGACATGTATATTAACCAACACCAGAGGGTGTGTCATAATGTATGTACAACTTCCTAGGTAAAAGGTCAAAGTCAAAAACTTTGGTTTTAGTTGACAACCCCATGTCCTATGGTAAAGATCGTGTCAGCTCTATATCTTGTGAACTGTTATAATATCAAAATTTATACTTGACATGTATATAAACCAACACCAGAGGGTGTGTCATAATTTTTGTACAACTTCCTAGGTCAAAGGTCAAGGTCAAAAACTTTGGTTTCAGTTAACAACCCCATGTCCAATGATAAAGATACAAATTTTTTACCACACATTATTCACAGCGGGGCCCACAGAGATGGCTCCCATCTCAATGATATCTAGTAACTGGTGATTTGGTGGGACAACAATCTTGATTAATGTCTCTACCATATAATATCTATTGCATATATATCTAGAGATATTTCAAAGCGGATCACTAATGATCAAAAGAATTATTTGTGAAAAATCTGGAAGTTGGAAAAATAAAATTTAAAATATTGTTCAGACTATTTTATGATCTGACAGTTGCATCTTTTGATTTATTCTGATATGCTCAATTTATTCATCCCATTTCGAGGTGAGTATATGTCTTATCTGAACGAAATCATTTGCTTAAAAGCTGGGCTTACAGAACTGATTTCGACAGATTTCTCTATATATTACTAGTTCAATTGGGTGATGGTCGTTCGTTAAATATAAACAACAGAGTTCAGGAAAACCATGACTACACCATATAATTAATTATTGGTAAATGATGGACATGGGAAGATTCCACGAATTGATTTAAAGCTGACACTTGAGAGGTCGTAGTTGGAGATTGATATCAAATTCCAAATGTTCAAAGCTATAAACAAATGAATGATGTTCGAAAGAGTAACCAGAGAATGACTTTGATAATACCTCTGTGAACTAAAATCATTTACAGATTCTCAACTTACTGCTAGCAAACGGTATTATGTATTGATTCTGCAACATGTATTCAAATTGGTTATATTGATTTATTCATTACTCAAGTCAATACTACAGTGCATGTTTAACATTTTAATCTCAAAGGATTTGATAGATACTATGACAATATAAAATGAGATAGTGAATAATAAATGAACCTGTCTAAACATTTATACTACATATCCTGACGCCTGTAGATAAGGGTAAAACATTATACTTGGATGAAGATCAGTATTTTCCCTAGAAGCTTGTTAAAGAATGTTCGTCATGAGTTTTAAAGTATAGGGGCGTAAATTTTAAAGAATTGTAACTTATATGGATTGTCGTCCCACTTTGCAGAAATCTTCAAGGGGAAATTTAGTGACATATCAAAATTAAAAATATATATATATGAGATTGTATGAGGCTTCAAAAGGATTAAGGAAAAACCTATTACAGCAGAATGCATTGAGTGTGTAGGTAAAGGTAGAATCTTTGGTTAGCTTGCTTGTTAGCTGAACCGTGAAGTCATTATTAGGTTAGGTAAACTACCCTCCTTTCGGAGTAGTCTAGTCCTACAGACAGATAACCAATCTATCTGTCCGAAAGGAGGGTAGTATACTATACCTAATAATGAATTCAAGGTTCAGCTAACAAGCAAGCTAACCAAAGATATTACCTTTACCTACACACTCAATGCATTCTGCTGTAAACATCAGATAAATGTTCATATTCAGGGTAAAATGTGTAACAATCATGAGTCATATTAATTGGATGAAGCAAGACTTTGATGTCAGTCATGGTTTCCAATATTTATTATTTTGATTGGCACCAAAAGCTTCTTTCAGTTCAATTTGAAACTAATCATGTTAAGTGATGCTTTGTATAATATATGATTTAATATGTGACCATATGTTGACCCATGGTTGCTAAATTTAGTAATTGTGTCTCTGGTGGGGACTTGTCTCATTGGCAATCATACCAGTTCTTAGTTTCTACTTTTATATTAATTGTATATAGTGATGAAAGGGTATGCTGAAAGTTAGATAAAAATGTAGAAAATGCAGTTTTGTGGCAGAATTCCTATTGAAAGTCCATTATTCTTTCATAAATCAAAAGGTACCCTTTAAAATATATTTTTTGCATCATAATAATACTAAGTAAAAAGAACAGACATTGTACCAAGTCAGGTTACCTGGACTCCGTTGGTCATTGTTGTTTGTCTTTCAGGGATGGGGTAATCGTAATCTGTAATCGTAATCGATTGTAATTGATTACATTTTTTCCAGTAATCGACAGTAATCTGTAATCGAAGACATTTTCGATTACATGTAATCGTAATTTAATCGATTACAGCAAAAATTGTGATGTAATCATCGATTACTTTTCGATTACATTTCGATTACTTTAGTAAAATAGTTTGATGAAATATAACCTATTCTAAATGAAAGTATGTATGTATTAAACAGAATGTATCAATATGATTTACGAGTTTATCAACTGCTTTATATCTATCTATTGTCACAAGCTGCATTATGATCAACCAGATCCCCTACCAAATTTTACTTTATATCTAGCTTTTGAAAAAAAAATGGATTTATGTGCTTGTCAATAATTCAAGACCTTATATATTAAAATAAGAAAATAGATTTGAAATAAGAAAATAGATTTAAAATAATAAATGAGTCTTAAGTTAAGTACTGTACTACATTAAAGTAGTAAGCTTATTTGTATTAACATTCTTTAAAGCATAATCTTAAACAAGAGTTGGAATTTTAGATTAGAATAGATAATCAGTTGATTCCTTATAATGTTATGATATAAAAATCAAAAAGTACACAAAATCCTTTCGACAATGAACCATTGGCTATGCACTGAAATTCTTTTGGAGAAATAGATACATGTATCCCATTTTGACACTATGAATATATATTGTTTATAATTTGATTAGAGAATAAAAAAATCTAAACACAATTCTTGTCTTTACTAATCAGATGATAAAAGACTTCTAATAAATAAGATGTAGACTTTGTTTTCATTTCAATTATGTCTAATTAAGAGGGAGATTTACATTATTTTGCCCCAGGTTATAAATTGTACTCCATTGGCAGTTTTATAACCTGTAATTGGGGTGGTTATCCAAACAAAAGGATTAATTCATGCATGACATTATAATTATAAATATTGATCTTTGAAATTAGCTGAACTAATTAATTATTCTACTTTTTTCAGAGGAAAACTTCCAACATTGCAATTAACTATGTTGAATAAAAATATACCTGTTTTTAATGAGTAAAAACAAAAAAAACTTGCAATATAAATAAGTGATTGATGCAATGCGATGTCATCTCTCGTTCATGTTGAAAGCCAAATTTCAAGAATGTTTGAATATTTCTGATCCTCAGTAAGAGATTCCATCTAGAAAAAAAATGTCAACTTAAAATTTGAAAACAATGCTCTAAATGCTGTTTTTGGTAAATTTCTAAATATTTACTATACAAACGTTGAGCAACATAATTGTGTTTAACTTTAACTTACTTTTATTATTTGTTTTGTAATTTTGTAAAATGTAATTGACAGTAATCGAAAAGTAATGTAATTACTTTTGATAAAGTAATCGATTGCAATCGATTACATACAAAAATCAGAGTAATCGATTATTAATCGATTACACAAAAATCCTTCATGTAATCGATTATTAATCGATTACATTTGTCAGTAATCGTGCCCATCCCTGTTGTCTTTGTATGTATAATGGGGGGGGGGGTTCTAGAGTAGTTGGTTGTATTGTCCAGTACTATTGGTAATACTGTGGATCTATTTATTTTTGTTGATATCAATTTTTTTGGATTGAGAAGAAAATTATTTCTGGATATTTGATTTTGTGGATAAAAGAAATGTGTTCGCTTCTGTTCACAAGTTTCACAAAATTTGGTATCCCATGCATAATGATGAATCGACAGTACTTGATTTTTTTATGCATCATTATTATTTATAGTAAATCTATTTTCTTTCCAGTATTTTCCCAATGGATATGCCTTTGCTACTGGATCAGACGATGCAACATGTCGCTTGTTTGATATCCGTGCTGACCAAGAGATAGGAATGTATTCCCACGACAACATAATATGTGGTATAACATCAGTTGCCTTCTCCAAGTCTGGCCGTCTGTTGCTGGGTGGATATGATGATTTTAACTGCAATGTGTGGGACGTTCTTAAACAAGAGAGAGCTGGTAAGTTTGTGTTGTATTTTGCAAATTTACGATCCTCAGTGGCTATGTGAGGGTCAGCATCTATTTTGACAGGCAATAAAGGTCCTTTACTGCTTCGAGTCTCACTAGAGAGAAAAATGGCTTATGTCATTTAAAATGCTTGGTTGTTTTTTTCTTCATTCAGGATGTACAGCTGAATTTTTTTTGTCCTTTTAAAAGAACATGTACCTGATTTGAGTGTACACATAGAACACCAGCCATGAATTCTGAAAACCATGTTCAAAGTCAAACATTGTTAAACATGTTACCATGTGTTTTTTTGCTTTTTTACCTATTTAGTACCTTTGTTACAACTGAAACAAAATGTAAGAATCTTATCAAAAAGAATTTTAATTTATTAATCTTATTTAGTTTTACCTTTTGATTTAATTTTTAATTTTTTTTGAAATTGTCAAACATTCTGGAAGCTGGTTATTGGTAGTTAGTTGTATATATAATTTTTTTTACTTGGAAATTCATATAATATTTATTGCTATACTTTAACATCTGGATTATTCAATTCAATCACAGTTTATATATATATATATCTTTTTAATGATAAATTCATGCAATATTTGCAACTATACTTTGACTGGTGATTTATTCCATTCAATTATATTGCTCATTTTATGAATTGTGATTATTTCAGGTGTATTGGCAGGTCACGACAATCGTGTCAGTTGTCTAGGGGTAACCGAAGACGGAATGGCTGTTGCCACAGGATCATGGGACAGTTTCTTGAAGATCTGGAATTGAGGAGGGCACACATTGTAGCCCCCCTCTATTTTATAATCCTGACTATAATTTTTAAAAATGACAAAAAATCCACTGGATCTGTTGTGATTTTAGAACTAGAAACAGATCTTGATCAAACCACTTGTATATGTTTAGGGGGGGAGGAGTGTAAATCTGTGGATGGAATTCTGTTTGATGTTTATCATGTTTGCTTTATAGTTAGGATACAAACCTTTTGAAAAGGAAATCGGAACAACATATTTTACATTGGATATAAAGGAGAATAATTTCGCCTGTGAATATCTAGTGTAATTGGAATAGAAGACGTCAAACAATTAAATGTTTCATTGCATTTTTAACATATAACAGAAGATCTTGGGATATTTTCAAAGAGTGGATGTGACCAGATGTGCTTGGTTATGTGTGTTTCTTATTTTGAAAATCGTGCACTTAGAACAAATTTAAACTGGAAACTTGGCTGTGTATTACCGTTCTATTGCATAACACCATGTAGTTCTTACTCTAGTTTTCTTTTTTAAAGTGCTTATAAATATTGATTTTGTGATTTCTTGCACTGTGTAATAATCATCTTATTGTATAAAATCATAGGATTACACAGATTAAATAGAGTACCAGTTGAAAACTGGAAGCAGGTATACTATCGTTAAATAGTATAGTTGTAGTTATGTGCATTTTTTTCAGGTTGAATCTCTTAAATAAAAAGAACTAAAACGTCAATTCACTTAGAGTGAATGAGCCGAAAAAAATAGTACTTGTATATAAAATTGAAAAATTTTCAAAAAATTATCAGACCCAAGTATAAAAATATTGTTAAAAATAATATTTTCAAAACTATTTGATTTCACACGGTTTCAAAAGTAAAATACATGTTAATTGAGCACCACTTTTGTTCAGAAAGAAAATGTATTTTTAAATGTATTACTGATATTTTTCATTCATTTTTAAATTGATTTGCAAACAGTTTGCATGCTAGGAGTGCAAAGATTTTGCCAATGAAATAGTGCAATGGTATATATATATATATATAACTTAATTTTACATGGGATTGTATTGTATGATTTGAATTTTCTGTTTGTTTGACACTGAGTAATATCTTGTGTATGTTTATTTTCTAACGTTCTATATATAAAAGTCTCAAATTTCTAGCCATTACATTTTTCTCTATTTAATGTTCTTGTCATGTTTTATATTTATGTAAACTGAGTTGTTTCGAATGCATTTTTTCTTGTCTGGAAAAAATTTTAAAAGCACCAAAAGTTTGAGGTGAAAAATTCAAAAATAATTCATGATTTGAACTTCAAAATTTGACCTTTATCAGGGAGGTTGGATTCAGGGTTATATGTATGTTTAAATAACAGCATATATCCTGTATATTTATCTGTATGAAAGGTGTACGAACGTTGAGGATGTTCAGTTCAAATATTTTTGAACAGTCTGTCCCAGTTAATTATATTCTGAATGTATGTAGATAAAATATATATATGTATTCTTATTATAACTTTAAATCATGTTTTTATGGCAGATTAATTTTCTCCCACCCCCTTAGTTTGTATGAGCACATGTATAAATGTAGTTCTGATACGATACGTTAACACGATCATTCATGAGCTCAATACTTGTGAGTTTTTTTTTACAAAAAAATCTTAATGAGAACAAAGGCTTGTTAAGGAATGAACATTTCAGTTCAACTTACGATCAATTTTAGTTGTAAGATTTTTTGTGAAAAGAGCCACGGATAAGTGTTAATATTAACAGTGTGTACTAATGGACCATAATAATTTATCATTTCATAAAACTAGCACAATATGGTATACTGTACATTGCATCTATAATTTATAAAAAAGCAGAAAGATTCAGGTTTTGATAATACATGTAAATGGTTAACAAAAGGGGTTGTACAAAATTCTCAAAAAGCAATTTCAATTTGTCAGTTCATCGAATCTAAAGAACAGATTTATAGAATAATTTTAGATAATAATTGAAAAAATTGAAATACCTGTACATGTAGTTGTTTCAAAGTACATGTGATAATTTTTTGCAATCCCATACATTTATAAATTTTTTGTCTTTTGCAAATTATTTTAATTTTGATTCTAATTTTGCTTATATTTAAGTTGAATGGTAGTGTTGTATGTATAGCCATTACACATAAACAGTTTCTGTCAGTTATTTAGATGATTTTTTTGATTTTTTCTTATGAAATTTTCTGCAGATCGAAAAAGTGATTCATTGAGTCTTTTTCATGAACAGTTAAATTGTTTGAGAGATTTAAGTAGTTAAAAGCTAAAAGTGATTACATAGTAATTTGTGTATCTTTAGTCAGTCTTAAAGTGACCCATTTCAATTTGACTTGAAAAGATTGAAGACAAAATAGTTTCCATTGGAATTATATTTAAAGTCTGTTTGAGTCATTTTATTTCAGAAAACATTGTCGTATTGATATTGGCTTAGACAAGTAAACAATCTTACTTTTCCTCAGATATAATTTAACAACTGAGCAGGGTTCTCACTAAGATAACTCCATGAGTTCTGGACTAACAGACAGTAAGCTGGACTCACCATTTTCTGAACAGATGAGTTCCAAGTTTCAACAACCATTTGTTAACTGGAAAAAATTGAATTAGAAACTTAAATCTAATTTAGTTCATCATGTATAGAACAGAAGAGTTTATAAATAATGAAATAACTTGTTTAATGCTTGAAAACATCAACGTTGACTTTTTCAGAACTGTGGATTCACAATGGAGTGGCCAAAACTGACAAATCACGTCCCTGGACTCATCTGGAAATTTCTTAGTGAGGACCTTTCAATTAGGTTAAACAGGTTTCAAAGAAACAGGTTCTCTTCAAAACTACATTATGTAACAAAATCTGAAGTAATGAAATGGACTTTTTAACAAATCTGTGTCTTACCCTTAATATCACAAGTTTAAATGCATACCATGTCTGTAATTTGTGGCATTAGACTGCCACTTATATTACCATGGCAACCCCTGCAATTACTAGTCTTAACACACATTATTATTGTTGAATCTGTCTAGAATGTGTATTTGTACTTTTCATTTGTCAAATAAAGCTTTTTGTCATTAATACAGTGTTTTTTGGTATATTGGGGAAACAAAGGTTCAGCTTAACCATTTATTATTTGCGAGTTTAAAGTCAAGAATTTTGTCTTGGTTAGTGACTTGGGGACTATAGAAATAATCTTTAATCCTCTGGTCTTCTGGATTCAAGCGCTCTGGGTCCTACATTTCTTGTCAAATTATAAAAAAATTATATCAAAGATGTTTCGTACAATATCCAGAATCTGTAAAGATCATCGTTTTAAGGGAGTTAATAGCCCTGAAATGGAAATTTGCATTAAAATATAATTAATATGAGGAATGCTGCTAAGTCCTCAACATTTCGGTTTCCAGGTGAAATCTTTTGAGCTTAACAACATATTTACCAAACTGGTTTGACAATGGCCCATATTTATTTTGGGGTTATAAAGTCAAGGGACAAGATAACAGCAGCTATTTATAGGCTGAAAATTGTGTAAACTTTTGATTTCCAGATGTAGTCTTTTGAACCACATGTTCAACTTGTACAAACTTTGTTTGATAATGAATTCCCTATGAGTTTAGGAAGACCCCTATGCATGTCGGGGTTATCAGGTGTAAAGTCCAGATCATCCCACCTATTGAGATACTGAAATTAGGGCAAAATTTTGGTTTCTGGGACTCTTTTCACAAAAAATCATGAGTAGAAATACTCATAATAATAAGTAAGTCATACACATTACAGTATGAATTGGGATCAATTTTAATCGTGAGATTTTTTGTGAAAAGAGTCGCTTGGTGTTGTCATTTGACCCTTGTGTCCAACTTGTACAAAACTTTATTTAATAATCAATCATGGGATGGGGAAGACCCTATTGCTTTCAGTGTCATTAGATCAGGTTAAGGTCAATGCAGCTTTTGATGGACTGAAATTTTGGCAACATTTTGATTTTCCCGAATTTTATCTTTTATGCCATTTGTCCAACCTACACCAAATTTGAAAATACCTCATTTATACTTTAGACCTTTAATATTTACATATAAATAATCAAATCCATGCTGAGTCAAATCAAAGCCTTAAACATTGGTATTTACTGCTTATTTGCTAAGCTTGCGCCATTATGAGTACAATGGAGTAAGAGCAGAAACTGGCCTGTTGGGAGTATTATCAATGTGTCTGGATAGGCTAATATGCCTTCATGTGGACTGTCTACCTTGTGAACAAGCATATTTAAAATCTGGCTCAGCATGTCAGTCTATTACAAAGCAGGTTTCATATTTCATATATAAACATTCTTGTCTGTATATGCATGTAATACCACTGGACGTAAAACATTACATCAACATCATATTATTATTCTCCATAAAATATTGTAAATTCTTTATATTCGTAAACCCAAATACCAGCCATCGTGTCACATAGATTTCCAGCAGACTTAACAGGCTTCATAACCAAGGTAGTTTACCATGAACACATGATGAAGTCATGGACATATCAACTTGAAACTTGGTACACATTTATTAAGAAATGATGATTTAAAAAATATATACCACATTAGGGCCTTGACCCATATTTCACGGTTCACTGAACATTGATGTTTACTGTGAGCGGGGCATTAGTGTCCTATGGACACGAATTCTTGTTTTATAATTTTGCTGGGTTGCAAAGAGATCTTTTGATACATGACAACCTTCATGATTTTCGAGCGTCACTGATGATTCTTGTAGACGAAACACGTGTCAGGCATACAAAATGTTAAACCTGGTATCTAGTTTATGTAAAACAGTAAAAATGATCAGCAATATAAGAACGACAATAATACCAATATGAACTGACTCCTTGTAGGATTAATGTCCTGAAAATTAATGATTTTCACTAATTAAAGCACTTTGCTTACTACCTTGAAAACTATTAGAAATCTAATTTTCATAGCTGCAGGAATTAGTGCTTCAGAATTCTACCCTTGCATTGTCTCCAAATATTAATGATTTCTAGTCGTTTTTTTAAGTTTGCTTTAAATGATAATCATAAAACTTTATAACATGACTACATATTTTGCAATGCATATCAAGTTTGATTTTTCTGTTCAAGAGTTTACCATTCCAGGGGTGTACCCTTCGCAATTTTAAATAAATGTAAAATAGTTTCTTGGAGACAACTTAAGTTCACTTCTGAGTGGTGCCTGACAACTTTGCATTGCTACTTAAACTTCCTACCATTTAAATTCATGTCAGGTATGATTTGTATGGCAATTATCATTCCAGAGTGAATTCGAATGCTTTCTAGATTTTGTGCGTCCGAAGTGATTTTCTGAATCTATACCTTCGTCAGAATGCTCAAACCTAAAATTTTAAAAGCCTGGGCCCGTATGCATAAAGCTACTTAAGTTGAGATATCCAATCGTAATACTAATTTATCGTAGGACATGTAGAAAAATCCGTCCGTTCGGAACAAATCTTAACTTAAGTAGCTTTATGCATACGGGCCCAGAGATGCATGAATACGCTGCAGCGTTTGGAGCGAGAATTATACTTTCAAATTATTTCCATAAGATAGTACAATGTATATCAGTTTGTTTTTAGTTTTGATCTATAGTTTTTTGTTAATTGTGTGTTGGTTTGCTGTCCTTTTAATAATGACATATACCCCACATCTCCCTTTTGTCATACCTTTAGAACTACATGAATGAAATACAAACTACTTATTCCTTAAAACAAATCAAAAATAGAATGCGGTAGCATTCAGAAAAATCGATACTCGAAAATTGAAGAATAAAATATGCTATCACTACAGGAGTAAACGTTTTCATTTTAAAGAAGAGCTAAGCAAATTTTCCATTCCAAAGGAGAGTTGAGCAAAGTTTCCATTCCAAAGGAGAGTTTAGCCAAAAGTGTTCATTGCAAAGGAAACCAAATACAGATGGTTTTATTTGTCATTAATGGCAAATTTCTGAACTCTGAGTTTCTACAACGTTTTTAGACGATTTTTAGAGCTCGACAAATACAGGTATACACCCCTGTCTATAAGAATGTAATTAATTGTCCTCTATATGTATCTGTGTTATTTGTGTCATTGGGTTGTTGTCTGCTACACGTATATTCCTGTCTACATGTATTTAGTTGTTGTCAGTTAGACGTTCATCCCTGTCTACATGTATTTAGAGACTTATGCCCAAGCTATTTTTATTCAATTCGGGAATGATTTACGTGGTGTCTGCTATATATATATCGAATATGCAAATTGTAAAGATGTCGGAGATTTGTTACAGAACTAGAAAAATAGGATTTGCTCATAGCCGAGTTTAATATTTTAGATTAATTAGGTTCCGATAATTATTGTCCGAAATGAAGTTTTCATTACATCAGTAAGTATACGAAACTTGTACAGTATATTAACAGAAGGCGGTGAACAAATTACAAATTAGAAAGAAAAAACAGCAACAATATCATGGTATTTTTCCAGAGGTAGTTTTATACGATAAAAAGTTTTAAAAAAGTGTTATTTTTTTTTATTCCAAAAAATATATTCAATCACAACAGATGCAGCAATTTTTGTCTGAGAACTTTATATTTTCATATATTTTTGGGACAATTTATGAAAAGTTTCATTCGATCTTGGATGTAATGCATAACTATAATTATTGCACGCTTCTACACCTTCATATTTTGATCAATATTATTCCAAAAATAGCCTAGCTTATTGTTTTTCTAAGAAACATTAAATCTAAATTCAGGGAAAATATCCATCGAATTTTTGACGTAGGATAATAAGCAAACAAACATAATACTCATGACAATTAGCAATGGTATACATGTTGTTTACGCTATCGCTAGTCCTGTTAATAAAATATTTAACAGCATTTGACACTTAAATGCTTTCGTATTTATTTTTACAATGACAATGAAGAACGGATGTATTGGAATCTGGATAGGTTACAGAGTAAAACCGACAAATTTCATAGTAATATTTATCTGTAGGAATTATGAAATATCTAATAGTGTGAAAAAGAATTATTACCCATGTGAATATGATTTACTGTATTTTTATCGATTGGGTTTTTTGTTTGTTTCCTTTTTTTTTTTTTTTGGGGTACCGATCATTTATATTTTGTTGGAGTATGTTTTTTTTCATGGGTTAACACATTATTTCATAAAATACAAAAGATTTTTTAAAACTTAATGTTGTATTTACACCCCCCCTCCCACACACACCTAGTTTTCAGGGAAATTAAACTTTTTTCACCTCCTTTCTGAAACATTTTTTTTTTAAAGAAAAAAATTTATTAAAAAACATGATTGGTTCTGAGTCAGAATAATGTATCCGGGTGACTCGGGAACCATGTCTTCCTGCGGACTGTTACCTTGTGAACTTACAGGCTCATTGTGTCGGTATATTACAAAGCAGGTGCATTAAACTGTTATTATCCTGTATATGCATGTGATATAATGTCATTGGACACAAAACACCTATCACAACCAATCCATCCAACCACCCATCGATACTCTAAGTAGACTGTCCACACGTATAAAAAATGTTTAAAGTCCCAACGGCGAAACAAGATTAGTTAATATATAGCTACTCGAACTTAAATAATCTATTATCGATAAAAACACTTTTAACACAAATAATGCTATGGATGTATAACCAGATAAATCGATTAAGATTTTACATAAATATAAAGTTTTTCGCTATTTATAGTTATATATTGGATAATTTTCTGAAGATATTTTAATCTTAGAAAAAGAATGAATCAGAAGAAGTAACATATAGAAAAGAGTATTTACATTCTACAATTATCGGTGCGAAATCACAATAAGTGCCGACAACAAATTGGTTGTCATGGCAATGCTTACGTCAGAACAACGAACCATTTCTTATATTTAATTAATATTGGTATTTCATTTTCCATCATTTTAATATTCTTTTACAAACTATCGACATCTGCTTCGTTTAATATATTGAAATGCTACTAAAACAGAAATACACACGGCATTTTGATATCGCACAAGAAAAGATATGAAATGATGAGAAGAAAAAAATAGGTTACT